ATTCGTAATACTTAAAACCAGAGACCATACGGATTGAAAGATGGGGGAATAAAAGAGTAGGTGCGTGCATGTTTCCACATCATTTTTACCATCCTGGTACTACTCTCGTTCAAGCACGTTTAACTACAGAATTCTGATGAAATCCGGTGTATTAGTGCTGGTATGATCGCACCATTTTATTACAGTTTAGTACCATATATTTTTTATTTATTTTAAAAAAATAATTTGAATTGACTAATTAAATTAATAAATTGATAATACTATTAGATATATTTTTTTTATAGTTTATTAATTTATTATTTTAATTAATTAGTTAAAATCAGTTATTTGAACTATTTTTTTTAAATATCTAAACATGACATAATTATTTTAATTTTTTTATTAAGAAGTTGAAAAAAAAAAATTGGGGGTATGAAATAAATAAAAAATCCATTTAAATTAAATTATATATTTTATTTTGGACTGCATTTAAATAATAATTAAAATTGGACTTCATTTGTAATTAAAATATTAACATATAGTGGTTCAAGCCCAATTATTGTATGGATAGTTTATTATTCCATTCAAGTCTATAATCAACCCATCCAAACAGGGTCCAAGCCTGTTGAGAACTGAAGCCCAAAATTCAAGTCTCGATCATGAGAAGAGAAGCAGAAACGACACCGTTTGGTAGGCGAAAGGGACTGAAGCAGAGAGCGGGCAAGCGAGAGAGAGAACTGCGGCACGAAGGGGAAATCACTGGTTTTAGGTCTTGCTAGACGATCCAGAGAAGAGGAGTTTTTGGGGATTTTAGGGTTTCTTTTCTACTTCGTATTAGAAGACTGACGGGGATTTGGCGAGAAACCTGTTTGAAATTGGGGAAATCAAGGGGAAAATCAGGGTTTGCTTATTTGGTTTCAAAGGATTTTTTGTCTGACTTTTCAGATTTTTCAGGAAAAGGAAGCCGATTACCAGAAAACCTTCAAAAGGAGTAAGTTTGGAACGTGAAAATCATGGAAAAGAAAGTCATTTCACTGTTCGATTTTGCTTCTGCTTCTTTTGTTTTGCTTTAATCCCTTGAAATCTTTTAGCCGAATTTTTTTTCTCATGCATATTTTGCTTTGATATTGCAGGTTTAGGCGCCAATTTCAAATCAAAACCTCAACTCCCGTTCCTTAACTGGTATGGACCCAGAGGCTGCACGGACTGCTCGAGAATCCCTAGATTTGGCATTTCACATGTCGAACATCCTTGACACGGGGCTTGATCGCCACACCCTTTCAGTTCTGATTGCTCTCTGTGACCTGGGTCTGAACCCAGAGGCATTGGCTGCTCTTGTCAAGGAGCTTCGGAGAGAGCCATCTTCCTCGGTGTCATCATCTGTTCCCTAAATTGCTTCATGGTATCTTCTTCTAACCCAGAAAAATTACAGACAGAAAGCTTCTGCTTTGTCCCTTATCAGTTGTCTTCGTGATATGTATGGTGTTTTTACCACTCTAATCTTTATGTCTCAGCAGCATCACAGTACTCAATATGTTTATGAACTGATATTCTTGTGAATGATCATGATCTATGGAAGTAATATTCTTTTTTCTGGGTCTAATTCTTTTTGACGGGCTAGTTAATTGAGTTCCCTTTTCAGCATTTTTTATCTGACTGGGATATTTTTTGTGTTGACTGTTGCATAAATTCACATGTTATTAACAATTCAGTATTATAGTTCTTCTGGGAGATTATTTCAATGGTTAGCAAATTATGGAGAGAAAATGGGAAAATGTGAATCTCTACTGTGGGTGACCTTTCAGTACTTATCTGCAGGTGTTAAATTCATCATGGTTATGTTTCAATCTTATTAGACCTTTCACTTTTTTTCACAACCTTAATGAGAGGGGTCTTGGATTTAATTTATGATTAATTACTTGATCAAATGTATATGCTTGAGGATCTTAGAGAGGCGATAATCGTGTGACGCTTGCATTTGATTCAATTCTCATTCAATTTCTAGTTCTAGTTTTTATATCGGACTTATTACTCTATAATTAGAATAGAGTGTATTGTGTTTGAGTTGCCACTCCCATTTTGAATTCATGATGCTAAGAATTCAATTCTTAACGTTTAATGTGGGATTTGAATTTCCACCATCAAACAATTCAAAGTGTAAAGAGAGGGGAATGGAAAGATGGGGGGTAGTAACTTTTTTCTTTTTGAAAAATAAGAAAGCTTTTATCAGTTGTAATCCTTACATCATCACAGAAAATACACTGATTCCCGTAAGACAGAACACTTCTCTACCAATACATTTTACATCCTACAGTTTTGTTAAACTGTTTAGCCATGTTCATCTTCATCACAAGAGTGCTTGATAAGTGAGTTATTACGCACTATTTCAAGGGTTTCTTGTTTATAGACAAACCTCGTAGCTGTCTTTGCTTCTCTGCCTCTTTTATCACTAAGAGTTCATTTAGGGGTCTTAGATGGTGATCTGAATTATTTTTCTTAGGATGAAACTTATCCCCATCATTTCACTGGCCGACCTTAATCTCTATTATTTTAAGGTTATATTTAGTATTTAAAATTTTTCTCAATTTGATATCCTTTTCCTGCCCCCCCACCCTCGAAACTTCCATCTAAAATGTGACCCCTGGCCTCCACAAGTCATAATATGAGAGCTATGGTGCTCGCCGCTTCAGAATAGAGATACAGCATATGGAAACTGGCATCAATCAGTGGTGAATGGTAGAAACCACATCCCATAATAAGAGCAATATTCTTGACACTGCACCCATAATATTCATACACCTTAAACCATAAGAAGAAACAATCATCATAAATCAGGTGATAAGATGCAGATGAAAAACATATTGAAGAAAAATAGCAAGCTGTAGCAGGACCCATGAAATTGCAGCAGCTATGCTTCAAGCCATAGATGATTATTATTGAGGAAATGCGGCAATCCGTAGACAATTGGAGCGAAGATCTACGCAGTCATGCAATACAACTGGAATCTGCAGCAATCTGCAGATTGCTTGGAGCATATTGCAAAGAAAGGAAACCATGTAATCTGAACTTCTGAACATATTATGTTGAATTAGAATGTAATTCAGTAGCCGAGTGAATTATCATCTATAAGTCTTTAAAATGGTGTGGTCTAATTTTTTCAACATTAAAGCCCGGTGTTTGAAGACATCTGAGTCATCAATGAAATATTGAATAGGGACTGAAGAAACTAACCAAATTCTATAAAGAATTAATGGAATTTGTCCATTTGAAATGATTTGAGATCAAGAATGTTTTTGTACATAATCTATCTATTCCTATTTCTTTTTCTCCTATTCTATTCAAAATGGTTTTTTCAGGTGCTTGAAATTCATTGATGAATTAAAGCAGCCTACTTTCTCTTTATAAACATTCAACAACTTCAGCAATTCACTGACTTTCTCCTTTGTCTTCTCACCACATCCAACCTGCAAAAGAACCAGCAGCTTCTGAAAAGCACCCACTTGAAGTGCTTCAACAATCAGCTCACCTCCTTCAACATCATCATTTTTTACATTACCAAACAACTTCCATAGAATCGAAACTATGAACTGAGTTGCCAAATCTGATACACGGATCACCTTCTTGACCAGAAGAGGTACCATTAAAGCATTCTTGTAAGCCTCCTCTCTCCCTTGTTTGGTATCGAACACGCGATCAAGAACACCTAAAGCCTTCTCGCATACACCCTTTTCTGCATCCACAATGGTTTCCACCATTGAAGAAACCAAACCCACTTCCAGAAACTTCAAAATCATCTTGTTGGTGATTTCAGACATGGGGCAGATCATGTAGTAAATGGCCATTAGTGAAGCTTTGGTGGCAGCGGGACAAATAGGCTCCCTGATTAACTTAACAAGAGTTTTAAAAATACTGTTATCTTCGTCGTCAATCTTAAGCAGGGTCTTCA